TCACTTGACCATCCAAACTTCTCACCAACAAATCAAAAGTGCCTATGAGTTCCCTTGTAAATAAAAAGTAAGAAAAAATTGTCACGGAAAATCTCAGGTCCCTAGAGTCTATTCCTCCCAAAATGTTTTTAAGTCCCCAAAAATAGATGGCGAATTTAAATTTTTTCCTCCTTGACTGACTTTCAATAAAATTTAGACCATAACAATCACCCAAAACTTTTTAAATACCGTACTGTAGTCCTACCATAGAGAATGATTTCATGGCTGGGGAAAACCTCTGTGGTATGCAGCGTTGAAATTCCAATGGGAGAAATTTGGAGATGGAGTTGAATTTTGGGCAGTAGAGTTGTTTCCCGGAAAGGGCGCCCCTTTGAAGGCTTACCAGCCCTGTAAAAACTTTAGACAGTATTACCAAAGGGTGGCTTCCTCAGGAAAATTAAAGAAAGAAAAAAAAATAAAAAAAAGACAAACATAAACACTTTATTTCTAGAAAATATACAAAATAAAAACTTAAATAGAAATATTAATCCTCATTAAAGAAAATGAAAAAAAGAAAAAAAAAAATGATAATGAATTCAACGCTAAAATTTTAAAAATTTGGGGGTCGGTGTTGGTGAACTGTGTTGTTGAAAATTGTAGCCGTTGCGTGATGTGGGGGGGGGGGGGGGGTCGCAGATGTTGGTTTCAACCCCCCGGGTTTGTTCTTCCAGTATTGCGGAGTATTAATCCCGGGGGAAGGAAACAGGGTTTTTTACCCTGAATTTTGAGGGGGGTTTCGTCCTGCAATTTTATAAAGGTGCACGGTAAAAAAAAATCCAAAAAAAGGGGAAGTTCAGGACGTTAGCCATCTCCATCAGTTTTTCTCGTTTTATTGGAGGTGACCCCCTCGTCATCCAAGAGTATGCTGGGAGCTGTGAGTCAGTGATTACGTTTGGGCCGGGGCCCCACACGTCACCTTTCGGGGGGGGGGGGGGGAAAAAGGAGGGGAAGGGGTAGCGGGAGCTTACTTCCCCCCTTAACAAGCAGCCGGCCCGTCAAAAATAAAACACTTTCGGGGGGGGGGAAAAAAGCGGGAATGCGGGAGCTTAACTTACCCTACCTAAAATGCCGGCAATGAAACTTCACTTTCGGGGGGGGGGAAAAAAAGGGGGGGAAAAAGGGGAGCTTGACTTACCCTCCCCTTAACAAGTAGCAGAATAAAATATTGTTACTAAAAATCTCCCTCGCCTCCTATCTATTTGAACTTTTTTCCCCCACAGTCTTCAAATTATGTCCAGAATTTTTATTGAAAAGCCACTGGATGGCGAAAGTTACAATAAAGATATCCAGATATTCACATGTTCTAATTTTTATATTGTCGGTTTTTATATACCTTCTTGCACAAAAATAATACCCGTGAACCTCAAATTTGAACATTTGCTCATCAAACTCTTTGAAAACGACCTTTGATTCCCCCTATTTTCAAAGTGCCCGTACTGGACCTGTTTTCCGCCCCCCGCTTGTCCGGTCGCTGTGCAGGCGCTGTGGCAGTCTGCTTTTTGAGCCCGATGAACACTAAAAACCGCGCTCTCTTTAAACATTTTTCGATTAATTCTTTTTGTTTAGGCTTGTGGGACTGTGAAATAAGTACCAGGGGCCAAAGAAACTTTCAGGTAAAGGAAATGAAAAACCTAGATTAAAAAAAGGGGAAATAATTTAAAGGTATGAGATGGTGTGCGACTTGTTGAGCTTGCCAGGATGTATGGAAAAAAAAAAAGATTTGCACCAAGTGAAATGATGTTCAAATGTTTGTGGAGAAGTACCCCTGAACAAGCTGAAAAAAGACACATGTGCAACTTAGGGGATCTTTTTAAGTACCTAGAGTTGCACAGTGTCTAATTTTTCAAAAGTTCGGTTTGTGAACCCTTATCTACAAGCTGAAAAAAGCCATTTTGCAAAAGTTCAAAGAAGAACCATGTCCCATTTTTTGGGAAAAATCTTTGGGTGCCAGAAAAAAGTTGGCTGGGGGACATTATTTTGTGGGGACAGGGGGCCCGGGGCTCTCAAGCGGTCCCGTGCATTAAAAGAATGAAGGCGTAACCCCGAGAGGGCTTTTATACCTGAGTTTCCTAGGAGGGGGATTCCCCTTCCAAAAAACTAACCCCAATCCCTCTCTCCTCCAATGCCATCAGAATGTTCAATAAAAAGGTAAGTAAAAATGTTAATTTTTTTATTTAAATTTATTAATAATTGTACACTATACTATTTGTTGTGTGTATGTAAAACTATAATGTAATACTATCTATAAAATGTATTTTTTTTTTTTTTTGTGAATATTTTTGGGTTTCTGGAATGGATTAATTGTATTTCTATTATTTCTTGTAGGAAATATTGCTTCGCCTTTCAAACTTTTTGACTTTAGAACTAGCTCCTGGAACGGATTAAGTTCAAAATTTGAGGTTCCACTGTAATAATAATAATAATAATAATAATAATACGTAATGAGAGCTTCAGAACGTCAGCAACTCAGTGCATTGTTTACCTCAGTGTGGGAATATTTCTCTCGTGCTTTGCTTACATTTTATACAGTCATTTGGCCAAATTTCGTTTTTCTAAGCATGGGTCGTAAGAAAGTAAGTGTAAAGGACAGTGCTGAGAAGAAAATGAGGATGATTTTCATGGAATTAAAGCATGTGGTATTAAATGAGTAATACGATACATAAATAAACATTTAAAAATCACATTTATGTACCTTTATTGAAGACTGTTGGCATCTGGAAGATAGGGAGGAGAGAGGGAGGACTTATTATTGCCTCGACCACTGCCTCGACCACTGCTTCCACCACTGCCTCCACCACTGCCTCCATCACTGCCTCCATCACTGCCTCCATCACTGCCTCCATCACTGCCTCCATCACTGCCTCCACCACTGCCTCCACCACTGCCTCCACCACTGCCTCTACCACTGCCTCTACCACTGCCTCCACCACTGCCTCAACCACTGCCTCAGCTACCTCCACCACTGCCTCAACCACTTCCTCAACCACTACCTCCACCACTGCTTTAACCACTGCCTCATCCACTGCCTCAACTGCCTCAACCACTGCCTCCACCACTTCCTCCACCACTGCCTCAACCACTACCACAACCACTGCCTCACTGCCACTATGAAGTTTCTTTGGACCCATGGTGTCTTATTTCACAGTCACAATCAATAAACAAGCACTAAACACAATGAATTTATTATGAAATGTTTGGGTAAGCAGCAGGGTGATGTTCACTCAAAAATAAACAAAGCTAGACTGGCTCACAATGCCTGTGCGGGGAGGTGCGCAGGTGCGGGCAGGCAGACAGGTCTGGTATGCCGGCCGAAACACTGGGCAACGGCCAAAACTCAGGACAAAATTTAGCCGAAAAAAGCGGTCGAAACTCGAAGCGGCCGATACTCAGGGCAGCCGAAACTCTGGGTTCCACTGTACTATGTAACGTGTTTCTTATGTAATTTTGAAGAAAATACCGTAGATGGATTATTGAAAATGTCTTTATTAACCTAAAATAAGATAATTAAAAACCCTTTGACTGTCGCACCCCAAACCCTTAGTGTTCCTGGTGTCGAAATATATTAAAAAAAAAAATTTTATTTTTTAGAAATGATAAAAAATTTTTCCAATGAAAATGACACCAAAAGACGAAATTTGATGGAAAACTTTACGGAGTTAGCTCCACAAAGTTAGCGACCTGGGGTGAATTTTTGCATCGGCGATTTCCCCCAACTTTGAGCCTTTTTTCCCCCAATTTCCCTTTTATTCCAGTCAACTAAACTCATAGCTATTTTTTTAGAACTCCATTTGTTCTGTCGATTGATACAAGAAACTCCCCATTTACCGTTTTTCAACTCCCCAATAAATGGTCAGAAATGGCAATTTGGCCAAATTTCATGAAAATTTTAAATTTGTAAATTTCAAAATGGGTCCAGAATGAACAATACAGGCATTCCTGGCACTAAAATAACATTTTTTCAGTTATCAGTCTTTTCACCCCCTGTTATAATACTCTTGCTTTTTATTTTGGAAATTTTTTTTTTCATCGTAGCAGACTATGCAAAATTTAAAAACTTATAAATAACGTCAACCCATTTGTGACTGATATTGAATGGTTAGGGACATTTATTGGCAATGATGTATTTTTTTTACTCCTGAACTTTTGGGAAAAATTGAAATTTTTTGCCAAATTTTAGCTCCTTTCAAGATTCTTTTCATAGAAAACCAATGAAAAACACTTCTTTTTTTATTATTTTTCCATTCTATCAAAAAGAGACCCCCCAAAACAAGAATACAACCATAAGTACTATACGAAAATACACCTCAAAGTCGGTGTTTTAATCCAAGAACACAGTTGGATTTTTTTCTCATTATGCACCGCATGCTGCAGGATTTTTTTTATACTGCACACACTGACCACACAAACCCATTCTCTCACATGTGGGCCTTCCAACTTTATCCTTGATTTGAAGCCACTAGAATTTTTGAGTACGTATATATACGTTTGGAGGGATATGTTGTGTATCTTTATACGTATATGCTTCTAAACTGTTGTATTCTGAGGACCTCTGCAAAAACAGTGATTATGTTTGAGTGTGGTGAAAGTGTTGAATGATGATGAAAGCATTTTCATTTTGGGGATTTTCTTTCTTTTTTGGGTCACCCTGCCTCGGTGGGAGATGGCCAACTTGTTGAAAAAAAAATATATACGTCAAACACATTGGCTCGTAAGACGTATATATACAATCGAAACAGTCAAAGGGTTAATGTGCCCATGAGTGATTATTATTACGTGTCCAATATGGCCGATTTCCGAGTTGCAGTCCGAAGTCCAGGATAGAATTTCAGCCAAAAAATTGGCTAAAATCCAATACGGCTGATATCTAAGGGTCCGCTGTAATTGGTTGCATGAAAATAACCTTCCCTGTCTATATTTGTATTGCTTTTCAGTTAGTAGATAATGTCTGTTGTATTTTTCAGTGCTGGTCCAATAGCACATGCTCTGGCTGAAGGTGCTGATATTGTAATTACAGGAAGATGTGCTGACAGTTCCCTTGCCCTAGCACCACTCATGCATGAGGTAAGTCTGGTTAAAATATCTATGACTGGCCTTCTACATAATAATGGCTTTAATTTTTTTTTTCAACAAACCGGCCATATTCCACCAAGGCAGGATGACCTAAAAAAAAAAAAAAAAAAAAAAGTTTCTCTTTTTAAATTTAGTGATGTATACAGGAGAAGGGGTTACTAGCCCCTTGCTCCTGGCATTTTAGTCTCCTCTTACAACACGCATAATTTATGGAGGAAGCCATACATGTTTATGTCCTCTTATCTCCCCATGGAGATGAGAGGAAATAAACAAGAACTAGTAAGAAAACAGAAGAAAACCCAGAGGGGTGTGTATTTATATGATTGTACATTCATGTGTAGTGTGACCTAAGTGTAAGTAGAAGTAGCAAGACATACCTGAAATCTTGCATGTTTGAGAGACAGAAAAAAGACACCAGCAATCCTACCATCATGTAAAACAATTGCAGGTTTCTGTTTCACACTCACTTGACAGGATGGTAGTACCTCCCTGGGTGGTTGATATCTACCATCCTACTACCTAGGTGGCTTCAAATATCCTGTTTAAACAGAAATTTCTATATATTTGTTGTCTGTCATGTGTAAAATATTTTTTTTTTCAACATGTCGGCCATCTCCCACCTAGGCAGGGTGACCCAAAAAAGAAAGAAAATTCCCAAAACGAAAATACTTTCATCATCGTTCAACACTTTCACCTCACTCATACATAATCACTATTTTTGCAGGGGTGCCTAGATACAACAATTTAGAAGCAAATGTAAAGATACAGTATAAAAAGTGACCTGAAATAATATAATAAACTCCCTATAGAATATAATATCAGGGCTCCAATTATATATATATATCGTCCTCTTACACATCCCTCCAAACTGCCAATATCCCAAACCCCTCCTTTAAAGTGCAGGCATTGTACTTCCCATTTCCAGAACTCAAGTCCGGCTATATAAAAATAACCGGTTTCCCTGAATCCCTTCAATAAATATTACCCTGCTCACATTCCAGCAGCTCATCAGGTCCCAAAAACCATTCATCTCCATTCACTCCTATCTAACACGCTCACACACGCTTGCTGGAAGTCCAAGCCCCTCACCCACAAAACCTCCTTTACTCCCTCCCTCCAACCATTTTGAGGACGACCCCTACCCCGCCTTCCTTCCCCTACAGATTTATACACTATCCATGTCATTCTATTTTGATCCATTCTCTCTAAATGGCCAAACCACCTCAACAACCCCTCTTCAGGCCTCTGACTAATACTTTTTTTAACTCCACACCTTCTCCTAATTTCCGCACTCCGAATTTTCTGCATAATATTTAAACCACACATTGCCCTTAGATAGGACATCTCCACTGTCTCCAACTGCCTCCTTGCTGCAGCATTTACAACCCAAGCTTCACACCCATATAAGAGTGTTGGTACCACTATACTTTCATACATTCCCTTCTTTGCCTACATTGATAACGTTTTTTGTCTCCACATATAGCTCAACGCACCACTCACCTTTTTTCCCAATCAGTTCTTTGGTTAACCTCATCCTTCATAAACCCATCCGCTGACACATCAACTCCCAAATATCTGAAAACATTCACTTCTCCCATACTCCTCTCCAATGTGATATCCAATTTTTCTTTATCTATCTCATTTGATACCGTCATCACCTTACTCTATGTTCACCTTCAACTTTCTACCTTTACACACCCTCCCAAACTCGTCCACTGACCTTTGCAACTTTTCTTTAGAATCTCCCATAAGCACAGTATCATCATCAAAAATTAACTGTGTCAACTCCCATTTTGTATTTGATTCCCCATAATTTAATCCCACCCCTTTCCCGAACACCCTAGCATTTAATTCTTTTACAACCCCATCTATAAATATATTAAACAACCATGGTGACATTACACATCCCTGTCTAAGACCTACTTTTACCGGGAAGTAATCTCCCTCTCTTCTACACACCCTAACCTGAGCCTCATTATCCTCATAAAAATTCTTAACAGCATTTAGTAACTTACTACCTATTCCATATACAGTGGACCCCCGGTTAACGATATTTTTTCACTCCAGAAGTATGTTCAGGTGCCAGTACTGACCGAATTTGTTCCCAAAAGAAATATTGTGAAGTAGATTAGTCCATTTCAGACCCCCAAACATACACGTACAAATGCACTTACATAAATACACTTACATAATTGGTCGCATTCGGAGGTAATCGTTATGCGGGGGTCCACTGTACTTGCAACATCTGCCTCATTGCTCTCCTATCCACTCCATCATATGCCTTTCCTAAATCCATAAATGCAATGAAGACTTCCCTGCCTGTATCTAAATACTGTTCACATATATGCTTCAATGTAAACACTTGATATGCACATCCCCTACCCACTCTAAAGCCTTCTTGTTCATCCCCACTCCTACTCTGTCTTACCTCTAATTCTTTCAATAATAACCCTACCATACACTTTTCCTGGTATACTCAGTAAACTTATTTATTTATTTTTATTATCACACTGGCCGATTCCCACCAAGGCAGGGTGGCCCGAAAAAGAAAAACTTTCACCATCATTCACTCCATCACTGTCTTGCCAGAAGGGTGCTTTACACTACAGTTTTTAAACTGCAACATTAACACCCCTCCTTCAGAGTGCAGGCACTGTACTTCCCATCTCCAGGACTCAAGTCCGGCCTGCCGGTTTCCCTGAACCCCTTCATAAATGTTACTTTGCTCACACTCCAACAGCATGTCAAGTATTAAAAACCATTTGTCTCCATTCACTCCTATCAAACACGCTCACGCATGCCTGCTGGAAGTCCAAACCCCTCGCACACAAAACCTCCTTTAACCCCCTCCCTCCAACCTTTCCTAGGCCGACCCCTACCCTGCCTTCCTTCCACTACAGACTGATACACTCTTGAATTATTCTGTTTCGCTCCATTCTCTCCACATGTCCGAACCACCTCAACAACCCTTCCTCAGCCCTATGGACAACAGTTTTGGTAATCCCGCACCTCCTCCTAACTCCAAAACTACGAATTCTCTGCATTATAAATTTACACCACACATTGCTCTCAGACATGACATCTCCACTGCCTCCAGCCTTCTCCTCACTGCAACATTCATCCACCCATGCTTCACACCCATATAAGAGCGTTGGTAAAACTATACTCTCATACATTCCCCTCTTTGCCTCCAAGGACAAAGTTCTTTGTCTCCACAGACTCCTAAGTGCACCACTCACCCTTTTCCCCTCATCAATTCTATGATTCACCTCATCTTTCATAGACCCATCCGCTGACACGTCCACTCCCAAATACCTGAATACATTCACCTCCTCCATACTCTCTCCCTCCAATCTGATATCCAATCTTTCATCACCTAATCTTTTTGTTATCCTCATAACCTTACTCTTTCCTGTATTCACTTTCAATTTTCTTCTTTTGCACACCCTACCAAATTCATCCACCAATCTCTGCAACTTCTCTTCAGAATCTCCCAAGAGCACAGTGTCATCAGCAAAGAGCAACTGTGACAACTCCCACTTTATGCGTGATTCTTTATCTTTTAACTCCACACCTCTTGCCAAGACCCTCGCACTTACTTCTCTTACAACCCCATCTATATAATTTTTACAATCTCTTTTGTCCCTCTTCCCTTTATATAAAGGAACTATACATTCTCTCTGCCAGTCCCTAGTATATGGGAAGGTAATATTACAGAAAGTAAGTGTTAGTGTTCATCATAAATTATTTAATTAAGGTTAAACAAGTTTGTAATGGATGTAACTAAAGGGCTACATAAAATAACAGGTGGATGGAAAAATGTTAAAAAAATCTAAAGTTAAAGCAGAATAGATGGACACTGATAAGAATGTGTTATGTTTGGATAGATAGTCAAATTTTATTACTAAAAGTTACAGGGTATTGATCTATCTCGGGGATTATATCTCTTCGTACATTCTTTGGAAAGCTTGTTATGAGAAGCTTGTCTGAGGTGGAGGAATGTATTTTAAAATAATTAAGCAGTCAGCAAACTTCTGCATTCAGATGTTTTTTATATTATTGTTTGCTGAAAAACTCAGATGTAGCTACTTCTATTAAACAAATTTAATGGATCTTCTTTCAACAAATCAGCCACATCCCACCGAGGCAGGGTGGCCCAAAAAGAAAAACAAAAGTTTCTCTTTTTAAATTTACTAACACATACAGGAGAAAGGGTTACTTGCCCCTTGCTTCCAAATTTAATGGCTATTGAAACATTACTGCAAATTAATGTTTGGCCCAGTGTGAAACAGGAATGAGCAAGATACAGTGGAACCTCTACTTGCGAGTTTAATCCGTTCCATGACCTTGCTCGCAACTGGATTTGCTCGTTTGCAGAGTCAGTTTTCCTCATTTAAATTAATTGAAATGCAATTAATCCATTCCAGTGGAATTCTGTACTTCAATAATTTCGCTAATATCAACTCTACGGCTTATTTATCTATCTCACTTCATCTAATATGACATAATAAACAATATGAATAACATAGAAACATGATATATACTCTAGAATGAATAAAATATGTCATTCATGTAGTGGTATGGGCGGTGTCGGTGGTGGACGAGAGTTTGTCTGGACACCGGGCAAAATACTTAATGAATAATTTTGCTAATATCATCTATATGGCTTATTTGTATATCACAGTTCATCTAATATGACATAACAGACAATATAAATAACATAGAAACACGATATATACTCTAGAATGAATAAAATATGTCATTATGTAACAGGTGGAGGCGGCCACAACCGCTCCCTCTTTGTTGTGGTAAACACTGCCATCTAGTGACGGCCTTTTGAAGCCATCTATTATTATAATTATTATATGTAGTACATTATTATTATATATGTATTATACAGGGGGAAAGAGGAGTGATTGGTGGAATGTTGAAGTAAAGGGTGTGATAAAAGAGAAAAAGGTAGCTTACGAGAGGTTTTTACAAAGCAGAAGTGTTATAAGAAGAGCAGAGTATATGGAGAGTAAAAGAAAGGTGAAGAGAGTGGTGAGAGAGTGCAAAAGGAGAGCAGATGAAAGAGTGGGAGAGGCACTGTCAAGAAATTTTAATGAAAATAAGAAAAAATTTTGGAGTGAGTTAAACAAGTTAAGAAAGCCTAGGGAAAGTATGGATTTGTCCGTTAAAAACAGAGTAGGGGAGTTAGTAGATGGGGAGAGGGAGGTATTAGGTAGATGGCGAGAATATTTTGAGGAACTTTTAAATGTTGAGGAAGAAAGGGAGGCGGTAATTTCATGCACTGGCCAGGGAGGTATACCATCTTTTAGGAGTGAAGAAGAGCAGAATGTAAGTGTGGTGGAGGTACGTGAGGCATTACGTAGAATGAAAGGGGGTAAAGCAGCTGGAACTGATGGGATCATGACAGAAATGTTAAAAGCAGGGGGGGATATAGTGTTGGAGTGGTTGGTACTTTTGTTTAATAAATGTATGAAAGAGGGAAGGTACCTAGGGATTGGCGGAGAGCATGTATAGTCCCTTTATATAAAGGGAAAGGGGACAAAAAAGATTGTAAAAATTATAGAGGAATAAGTTTACTGAGTATACCAGGAAAAGTATACGGTAGGGTTATAATTGAAAGAATTAGAGGTAAGACAGAATGTAGAATTGCGGATGAGCAAGGAGGCTTCAGAGTGGGTAGGGGATGTGTAGATCAAGTGTTTACATTGAAGCATATATGTGAACAGTATTTAGATAAAGGTAGGGAAGTTTTTATTGCATTTATGGATTTAGAAAAGGCATATGATAGAGTGGATAGAGGAGCAATGTGGCAGATGTTGCAAGTTTATGGAATAGGTGGTAAGTTACTAAATGCTGTAAAGAGCTTTTATGAGGATAGTGAGGCTCAGGTTAGGGTGTGTAGAAGAGAGGGAGAATACTTCCCGGTAAAAGTAGGTCTTAGACAGGGATGTGTAATGTCACCATAGTTGTTTAATATATTTATAGATGGGGTTGTAAAAGAAGTAAATGCTAGGGTGTTTGGGAGAGGGGTAGGATTAAATTATGGGGAATCAAATTCAAAATGGGAATTGACACAGTTACTTTTTGCTGATGATACTGTGCTTATGGGAGATTCTAAAGAAAAATTGCAAAGGTTAGTGGATGAGTTTGAGAATGTGTGTAAAGGTAGAAAGTTGAAAGTGAACATAGAAAAGAGTAAGGTGATGAGGGTATCAAATGATTTAGATAAAGAAAATTGGATATCAAATTGGGGAGGAGGAGTATGGAAGAAGTGAATGTTTTCAGATACTTGGGAGTTGACGTGTCGGCGGATGGATTTATGAAGGATGAGGTTAATCATAGAATTGATGAGGGAAAAAAGGTGAGTGGTGCGTTGAGGTATATGTGGAGTCAAAAAACGTTATCTATGGAGGCAAAGAAGGGAATGTTTGAAAGTATAGTAGTACCAACACTCTTATATGGATGTGAAGCTTGGGTGGTAAATGCAGCAGCGAGGAGATGGTTGGAGGCAGTGGAGATGTCCTGTCTAAGAGCAATGTGTGGTGTAAATATTATGCAGAAAATTCGGAGTGTGGAAATTAGGAGAAGGTGTGGAGTTAATAAAAGCATTAGTCAGAGGGCAGAAGAGGGGTTGTTGAGGTGGTTTGGTCATTTAGAGAGAATGGATCAAAGTAGAATGACATGGAAAGCATATAAATCTATAGGGGAAGGAAAGAGGGGTAGGGGTCGTCCTCGAAAGGGTTGGAAAGAGGGGGTAAAGGAGGTTGTGTGGGCGAGGGGCTTGGACTTCCAGCAAGCGTGCATGAGCGTGTTAGATAGGAGTGAATGGAGACGAATGATACTTGGGACCTGACGATCTGTTGGAGTGTGAGGAGGGTAATATTTAGTGAAGGGATTCAGGGAAACCGGTTATTTTCATATAGTCGGACTTGAGTCCTGGAAATGGGAAGTACAATGCCTGCACTTTAAAGGAGTGGTTTGGGATATTGGCAGTTTGGAGGGATATGTTGTGTATCTTTATACGTATATGCTTCTAAACTGTTGTATTCTGGGCACCTCTGCAAAAGCAGTGATAATGTGTGAGTGTGGTGAAAGTGTTGAATGATGATGAAAGTATTTTCTTTTTGGGGATTTTCTTTCTTTTTTGGGTCACCCTGCCTCGGTGGGAGACGACCGACTTGTTGAAAAAAAAAAAAAAAAAAATGTATTATACATATACATAATATACATATTATATTATAATAATTATTATTATTATTATTATACTTATTGTTATTATTCATATTATTATTATACGTATTATTATTATTATATATTATCGTTATTATTATTATTATAATTATTATTATATAAATTATTTGTAATTTTTATTCACACAAAAAATATAAGATTTACTCTTATTCCTTATTGCAATAATTGTATAAATATGTCAACCCATTCACTACTGCATGTTGGAATGGACAGTTTACTCTGAAACAGCCAAGCACTGGACCATTTCTCCTAGGTTGAGCTCAATTTCAAGGCACTTTTCATCATGAAAGCAATCAAAATCATATCTATTACTGTAATATATCTTCCATTCTATCAAATGAGACCAAAATAACGAGAATACAACCATAAAAACCATTCGAAATTACCGCTAAGGGGTGGCTAACTGCTGAGAAGTGAACTCCATTATTTATGCTTAGATTTCCTTCATTATTATTATTATTATTATTATTATTATTATTATTATTATTATTATTATTATTATTATTATTATTATTATTATTATTATTATTATTATTATCATTATTATTATATAAATAATTTGTAATTTTTATTCACACAAAAAATATAAGATTTACTGTGACGTCATTTGTTTACACTGAAACAGCCAAGCAATGGACCATTTCTCCTAGGTTGAGCTCTATTTCAAGGTACTTTTCGTCGTCAAAGCAATCAAAATCATATCTATTTCTGTAATTTATCTTCCATTCTATCAAATGAGACCAAAAAAACAAGAATACAACCATAAAACCCATTCAAAATTACTGCTAAGGAGTGGCTAACTGCTGAGAAGTGAACTCCATTATTTATGCTTAGATTTCTTTCATTTTTGGTGTACATTAAGAAGCATTTTTCCATCATACATTGCCCAAGTTTCAATAAGATAGTCCAACAAACAAATGAGATACAATTCCCGAGATCAAGAGCAAGAGCCCCTCACCAGTGTCAAGGAACCTGCCTTGAGGTCTGCTCGCTTGTGGAAATTTTGCTCGCGTATGGAAGCAAAAAATCGACCCATTGACTGCTCGTATTTGGAAAAACTCGCACGTGGACACGCTCGCAAGTAGAGGTTCCACTGTATATTACTGTACTATTCTTTATTCAAACCTTGACATTATGTAATGTTGTAAAATTTGTCAATTTTTCATGTCTACATAGTATATCTAGTGGTAATGGATTTTTAACAAACTTTAACCCTAAAACTGGCCAAACATAGATCTATGTTCACTTGCATAGTGCTCTGAATATTTTGGGAAAAAAAATTTTTTGTTTGTTTGTTTAAAATGAAGAGTACATTTTTCCCAGCGTCCCTGAATTTTGTCATACTGCGCACACTGAGTGCACAGACCCATTCTTTCATGCCTAGGCAACTCAGGCCTATCGTGCCAAGGTTGAAAGCATGTAAAATAAAACGTGGATCCACGTTCAGAGTGCTACGCACGTGAACGTAGATCTACCTTTAGACTGTTTAAGGGTTAAGAATAGAATTTTTTATATTGAACATGTGACTTTTTATCATTAACATGGACCCCTGGCTGTCTTCAAGAAGGCACCAGACATGCACCTAAAGTCAGTACCTGATAAGTCGGGCTGTGGTTCGTACGTCTGTTTATGTGCACCCGGCAGTAAGAGCCTGGTTGATCAGGCCCTGATCCACTGTGAGGCCTGTTCACAGACCGGGCCGTGGGGGGCATTGATTCCTGAATCCCTCTCTAGGTATACTCCAGGTATAAGGTGTTGCACAGCAGAAAAGAATGAGTGTTGGATTCACACAGTGGAGAACGCGTGTGAGGGAGATTGGAACTTGGAAATTAAATAACCATACTTTGTTATGGGACTCTGAACGTACTTTATAGATGCAGATTACCTACACATTACCACAAAGAGTCAAAACGTTAGGGAATCAATTTGCTCACTAACCTGGATTTTGGCCGTGGTGGAGTTTATACTTTTCTGATGTACAACTCTTCATATTGGTGCTAGGTAGTACATCACACGTTTGTTTTTCATTTTAGTTTGGTTGGCAGTCGAAGGACCTTGATCTACTTGCTGCAGGAAGTCTTGCTGGTCACTTGATTGAATGTGGAGCACAGGCAACTGGTGGTATATACACTGACTGGCATACAGTTCCAGACTGGCATAACATTGGTGAGACTCACTAATCAAAAGCAACAGCAGCTAAGGTGTACTAACATATTCATGCTTGTGGATTATGCAACTATGATTATATTTTGTAAAAATAAAATCATAGTTGTGTAACTTTCTTTACTTCTCTGCCAATAATTTAGAGAATTTAAGAATGGAATGACACTTTATTTGTATTTTATTTGTTTATAATAGTATATATATTTTTCACCTAGGTTTTCCTATAGCAGACGTCTCAAACACGGGCACCATACTTATCACGAAACCCTCTGGGACTGGTGGCATAGTTAACTGTGGAACTATTGCCGAACAGATGCTCTATGAGATTGGCGACCCTCGTGCTTACATACTGCCAGATGTGGTGTGTGACTTCTCTAGTGTGAAGCTGAGTCAAGTGGAGGAAGGAGTAGTTGTAACTGGAGCTAAGGGAAAGCCTCCCACAGACTCATATAAGGTGAATTTTTAATTATTTTTTTTTTTAATTTGATTAGAGTACAGCCTCTCCTCACTTAGCGACGTACTCATTTATCAATGCCTCAGACTTAAAACGGGCTCTCTAACTGGTATTTATACCTAAATGTATATTAGAGCTGATTTTCTCTATTCTGTTTATTTCAACATACAGTACAGTACTGTATAAACATTTAAAAGTATACTAGAAATGTTATAAATACTGCACAGGTGACATTAAAACAATATCAAAGATGGTTGACATAAACCCACTACCATTATAGTATGCTCCTCACTTAGTGATGAATTCATTTAACGACGTGGTCTTAGAAACAGAACTCTATCATTAAGTGAGGAGAGACTATATTAAACTAAATAGGCATTCCTGACTCAATATTAACCCTTTGAGGGTCTGTCCTATAGTTCTCTGGCCTTGAAGCCAGGGCCCAAGCTCAGCTCAGCTCACTCAGATAAGCTGTGAGCGGTAAATTTGGGCCTAGATATGAGAGAATGAATCTACGTGGTAAGTGTTCACCATATAAAACAAATCCTGCAGCACGCAGTGCATAATATGAAAAAAACTGACCGTGTTGTGTAGTGTCACCGTGTTCTTTCATGTTTTTCACGGTCTCTCTTGTGTGCTAGAACTTTAAGCTGTGCCAGTGAACTTGTAAGATATATCCCTCTAGCAGAAAATAATATCTACTGAAGTCAGTGTACAAAAACAAAGCATAGCCATACTCTCAGAGGGGAATTTTAGGGAGAGGCGAGCCTTTTTTCAGTGATCAGGACATTAAAATTGAAAAATTATGGAAAAAAAAATGTTTTTTTACTAAAAATAGTGCAAAATTCTGGCAACATTTTGATGTAATCAGCTTCTTTCTATCATATTTATAAGTATGTTTTTCATTAAATGTATTTTTTTTGTTCTTGCTGTCAGCAAAAATACATGTTGGCAATTAGCAGTTTTTTTTTTCTCTCTAAAAATTACAATTTTTATGATTATTTCATTGTAAATACTCTACATGGCAAATTGTGTGCTGGCTAGTGTGTGGAGCACAGTGAGTGAGTCCCTTAGTAGCCTGCAGGCTGTAAAGAAGGTTGGAGGGGTGTAGCACGCTGAGAGTTGGCGCGCCACTTCCCTAGAGTTTCACACTCAAAAAAAAAAAAAAAACTCAGTAATAAGTTATTGACATTGTAATCCCTCTCCTGCAATAGGTATTCATTGGATTGTCATGATTTTTGCAGACGTTATTGAGGAATGATGGCTCTACAAACACTCTGGGAGGATTTGTGATATTGTGAACAGCATTTTGTAATATTTTTCTCCACAAAAAAAAAAAAACTAACTATCTTTCATCTGATGTTAACTAGAGCATTGTACATCTTCAGAATTTAGTAGAACAAGGAAAGTTATAGGACCCATGAAATTGTGCATAATTTATTTTTTCTACCTAACTTGAAGGCTAACAGTCAAAACAAACAGCCAATAAAACTGGTTATAAATGACCATTATTTTTAAATGGGTGGACCAGTAAGCCAGTGGAAGGCCTTGGTCAGATGACCAAAGCTCCAAAGGCAGGTCATCATCTGACTAAGACCCACGTCAGGAAACACTTGTCCTGTTTCCTGACAAACCTTACCTAACCTAACCTAACAGCCTATATGCTTTTTTTTTTATGCTGCTTAATCCACTGTCAAAATCTCATTGAAATTGAACCCAAAAAAAAAAAAATTGGTGATTCCACTCGCCCCTCCCTTAGGCCTAGCGTACCGGTGAAAATAATATTAAAACTTTTTTGTCAGAGGAAAGACAGTCTCTTTGATAATACAGTGGATCCTTAGCTAACGATGGCATCACCTAGTGTTAAATCCAGCTAATGATACATTTTAACGCAAAAATTTTGCCTCAGCTAACGCTAAAAAACTCACCCTAGGCGATTCGTTCGAGACGCGTGGGTAGGTGCCAGTGTTTACAAGCCTGCCAGTGCGGTCGCATCCACGCATACAATCGGAACATTTCATATTATCACAGCGTTTTTAGTGATTGTACCTGCAAAATAAGTCACCATGAGCCCCAAGAAAGCTTCTAGTGCCAACCCTGCAGGAAAAAGGGTGAGAATTACTATGGATATGAAGAAAGAAATTAAGGAAATGTGTGCAATGTGGGTTGAAGTGCAAACCTTTATGGATGAAAATCACCCTCACACAGCTATTGCAAGCCGTGCTGGTGACTATTACAATGACAATGTTTTGAACCACTTTAGACAAATCATTAAGGAACGGGAGGTACAGGCCTCTATGGACAGATATGGTGTGCGACAGAGGTCCAGTGACTCAAGCTGGTCCTAGTGGTACAGTGGACCCCCGCCTTATGATATTAATCCGTTCCTGAGAGCTCATCGTAAGCCGAAATTATAGTTAGCCGAATTAATTTTCCCCATAAGAAATAATGGAAATCAAATTAATCCATTCCTGACACCCCAAAGTATGAAAAAAAAAAATTGTTTACCATATGAAATATTAATTTTAACACACAAACTGAAGAAGACATGCACAATTACTACTCTACTAAGAATAGAATATGTGACACTTACTTTTATTGAAGATCTGGTGATGATTGATGGGATGGGAGGAGGGGAGTGTGTGGAAGTTATTGTTTAGAAGGGGAATCCCCTTCCATTAGGACTTGAGGTAGCAAGTCCTTTTCCGGGGTTACTTCCCTTCTTCTTTTAATGCCACTAGGACCAGCTTGAGAGTCACTGGACCTCTGTCGCACAACAAATCTGTCCATAGAGCTCTACCTCTCGTTCCTTTAAGACTTTCCTAAAATGGGCCATAACATTGTCATTGTACAGGTTGCCAACACGGCTTGCAGTAGCTGTGTCAGGGTGATTTTCATCCGTAAAGGTTTGCAGTTCAACCCACTTTTTACACATTTCCTTAATCTCTTTTTTCAATTCCATACTAATTCTCGCACTTTTTACCACAGGGATGGCACTAGAAGCTTTCTTGGGGTCCATGGTGACTTATTTTGCAGTTACAAGTACTAAAAACACTGGGATAATGTGAAATGTACCGAGTGTATGCGTATATGCGACCGCACTGGCTGGCTTGTAAACACTGGCGCTGAGGCCACACGTGGGACGCGTCCCAGACGAATCACGTAAGGCGAGTTTTTTATCGTGACACGAGGCAAAATTTTTGCATTCAAATGCTTCGTATGGCGGATTTAACGTAACGCGATGCGTTCATAAGGCAGGGGTCCACTGTAGTGTGTTATATAATGTACATAGTGTTGTTGTGTGTACCACAGTGGTACTGTAGTATATGGATAATAAATGATAAGGTGAAATTTAAAACTGAAGAGTTAGGCCCAAAGAGGCAGGTTCATGTTGTAAACAGTTGCCAGCAGTCATCAGAACCCTCCCACGCAGGTCGGCCAGTACCTGACCTATAATTAGTGATACCATGGAGTAAAACATTACTGTTGAAATACGAAGAGGTGCAAAATCTCAAGGATATACGAAAAGTGTACAGTTTTGTAGAAATACAGTGGACCCCCGACATTCGATGGCATCGACATTCGATAAATCTGACATTCGATGCATTTTAACGCAAAAATTTCGCCTCGACATTCGATGGAAAACCCGACGTTCGATACGATTCGTACGAAACGTGTCCACGTGTGGCCTGAACTGCCCCGTGTGTGCCAGTGTTTACAAGCCAGCCAGTGTGCGCACATCTAAGGATACATTGGGTACATTCCATATTATCCATATTATCACTGTTTTTGGTGCTTGTTTCTGCAAAATAAGTAACCATGGGCCCCAAGAAAGCATCTAGTGCCAACCCTTCGAGAAAAAAGGTGCTAATGACTATTGAAATGAAGAAAGAGATAATTGCAAAGTACGGAAGTGGAGTGCGTGTGTTGGAGTGCATGATGATTTGGTAAAGAAATTGCCTGCAACTAGTGGTGATGTGAGTGAATTTAAGGCCAGCAAAGGTTGGTTTGAAAGATTTAAGAATCGTAGTGGCATACACAGTGTGGTAAGGCATGGTGAGGCTGCCAGTTCAAGTCCTAATAGAAGGGGATTCCCCTTCTAAACACTAACACCCCCCCCCCACTCTCCCCTCCTCCGATCCCATCAATCATCACCAGATCTTCATTAAAGGTAAGTTTCAATTATTCTATTGTTATTAATCTATTGTTATTGTAATTATTCTATTGCATTAAACTTAATATTTCATGTGGTAAATTTTTTTTTTCATACTTTTGTGTGTCTTGCATGGATTTATTTAATTTCAATTATTTCTTATGGGGAAAATTAATTCGACTTTCGATATTTTCGACATTTGATGGCTCTCAGGAACGGATTAATATCGAATGTTGGGGGTCCACTGTATGATAAATAGTGTATAGTTGTTAGTACTTATTGTGATGAAGTGACGTATATAGTTTGTGGTAAACCTGTAGTTAGCAGTCGCAGTATACACAACAAAAATCATTATTCCTCCAGTAATCTTCACGTACAGAAGCCACTGGCTCCCAAACATGCAAGTTATACTTTCTTTATCAAACTGAACACATATTACTCTGTTTAATATTTTTCCAGTAGTACAAGAATGGTATACAATACCGACAAGATGAAATTAAGACATGTGCAACATCTGGGTATCTTTATTGTAGATGTTTTGCCATCCAGTGACTTGATCAATACAAATTCCAGGACATAACTTGAAGACAGTAGAACTATATACAGAGGATGAGGTAATCAGTCCCTCAACCTTGGAGTTGGTGCGAAGCACCGTAGTCATGGAGATTCTGAAGCAGAAGCAAGGAGCCTGGCGCTTATATACTAACGTCAGATTAGTACATAAGTGCTACACGTCCCATTTCCACCTGACGTTAGTATATAAGCGCCAGGCTCCTTGCTTCTGCTTCAGAATCTCCATGACTACAGTGCTCTTCGCACCAACTCCAAGGTTGAGGGACTGATTACC